GTCAATGAGTCGATGCAATCAGCTGGTTTTCCTTAGATAGAAAACTTTGTTGTGAATTGGAAGTGAATTGAATTAAACCCTCGGTCTTGTCTTGCAGGTGATGGGCGGCCCAGATGGAGACATGTTTAACTACTACAAGATGCTGATGCTGCAGGGGCTGATTGCAGCCAGGAAGCACATGGACCGAGTGCTGCAGATTGTAGAGATCATGCAGCAAGGTGAGCAAACAGGCCGTCCCACTGCGCCCCTGTTCCCGTACCGCCGCCCACCTCAGCTTTCTCTGTGGTTTTCCCTTCAGGCTCCCAGCTGCCTTGCTTCCACGGCTCCAGCACCATGCGAGGCCTGAAGGAGCGTTTCCACATGTCCCTCACTGAGGAGCAGCTGCAACTACTGATCGACCAGCTGGTGGACGGATCCATGAGGTCCCTCACCACCAAACTGTACGACGGCTTCCAGTATCTCACCAACGGCATCATGTGACCTCCGCCACACGTTCTGGGAATTCTCCGCGCTTTTAGAAACTCTTCTTCTTTTATTCCAGCTTTGTGTTTGTTCTCCTTTTTCTTTAGTTTCTTCTTCCTAATTTTTTAAATCTCCGTCTTCCTCCTCTTATGCTTTGTTGTTCTGAACTGGGTGGAGGCTTCTGATTGGCTGATCAGCAGGACTTCTGGCCAATCGGAGAGCAGCCCAGTTTTAGTTGAACTGTGAACAGTGAGCAGGACGTTTGAACGGACCTCTGTGTGTTTTCCATGACTGACGTCTGTGAATGTTTGAGCCATTAAAACCAGCCAGTGTCCACCTGCAGAGTCTCGTCTGTCCCTGTTTACCTGGAGACCCCCCCCATCCAGATGAGCGAGCTCTGCTGGGGCCTCGTGCATAATAGTGAGCAGCTTTTGTACTAAAAATGGCCGGAAGCACCTGCTGCTTACAGGTATCACCTTTCCTGAATACTTCCTGATTCTGCAGCATCTGCAGACTCTACCTGGACCGCCCGTCGTTGCCATGGATACATAATATGCACTGGTATTAATTAGACTCACTTATTATAGGACATCGTCCGGTGTCAGGAAAACATTTTATAAGGAAGAAGTTATCCGGTCTTTGAGAAAAAGCTTTTACGCATCAGGAATAAACTCAGGAAACAATTGAGTTTGATTTTTTTGTTGTTCTTTTTTGTAATAAAATCTCCATCTTAGCAGATGTTTGAGTTCAGCAAAGCTACATTCCTGCCAAAAAATGTCTTCAAGAAATATTTTGGGTTTGTATACCGATCATTTCACAGGAAAGTAATGAAGGTCGTCACATTTCCGCTTTATTTTGTTTTTCATATCCCGCATTTCTCCAAAGGAAGCGAATGAACGCATCAGGATTGTCCTTCATGGCCACCGTAGGATCGAATTATTGAAGCTTTGACAGCAACGGCTGATGATAGTGATGAGAAGTTTGTTCTATTCACTCCCTACTAACCGCAGCGCTGCCGTCCTCCGGGATTCATAGAACCGTAGTTACATTCGTAACTTTCTTTTAACCAAAATAAACTTTTAAGATGATTTAAGAAAAGAATCAATCTTTGTAAAACTTCATTTAACAAAAGGGCTTCATGCAGAGACCTAAAGACCTGATAACTTTATTTTTAAGACCTGATAACTTATGTCTTCAGATCCGAGGATGCACCCGTATCCTCGTAACCATGGCAACCGTGTCTCCACAGGGTTGTTTTTTTTTTTCTGTGGACTAAGAGCTTCTTGGATGACATCAGCGACTCGAATTTGCTGAAATAAAAAGAAAAACTGGCTTATGAGTGTTGCTTGTAAAGTTAAGCAGTCAAAAATTAGGATATTATATAAATAATTATATTAATATATTATTTAATTTGTAAGAGAAAAAATTAGGGGGTTATTTTTTCACTCTGTGATTCATTAATTTTTAAATCAAATCCCAAACTAAATGTTTAGATTGTCAGTTATAAAAATTGTCAGCAAGTTAAATATTTATTTTTTA